GCTTTCTGTACTTGAGCAAAAAAAATTCTGTCCTTGGGATCAAGTTCAAATTCTGAAGGACAGAATTTTTAGAAAGAGGGAGTGCCGTGATCAGCTTTGGTATTTGGGGAAAAAAATCTCTAAAATGGCTAGTGCAGAGAGGGGACAAAATCTGATACAGTGATCCCAGCACCCAGACAGGGTTATACAGCACTGATGCATTACACCTGATCTCCCAAAGATCCAGGTCAGCAGCTGGAAAATAAATGCTTGTTACAAAGCATATTTCTGTTATCATAAATAAACTACATTTCTGACTTCTCGTAATAGCTGAGGCCGGATAGACTGGGACAACTCTGGGAAGGAGCTCTCACTAGTGCAGGACAGTAATTGACGGGTTCCTACGTCTTCAACGTCAAGAGTAGAGAGAACTGGGAAGATGTGACTGGAAACAGAATTTATGCTGGTTTCTAAGACTCGGTTGTTGATTTGTTTTAACGAGTTATAATATACATATCAAAAAATGTACCCTTTTTGGAGGGCGCAGTTCAGTGAGATTTAGTATATTCACAAAATTTTACAGCCATCACCAGTATCTAATTCCAGAATATTTTTATCACCCCAAACAAAAGCCTACTGGCCATCACTCTCACTTTCGTTCTGCCCATCCACCTAGCCCCTGGTGACCACGCAGCACTTTCTGTCTCTGTGGATGTATGTACTTCTGACATCTCGTCTAAGTGGAATTACATGACGTGTGAGGTCTTTTGTGACTGATTTCTTTCATTTAGCACGTTTTCAAGGTTCATACAGATGGGTATGTATTTCAGCACTTTATTTCTTTTCATGGCTGAATAATACTCTGTTATGTGGCTATTCCACATTTTGTTTTTCTTTTCATCATTTGTGGAAATTTAGTTTGTCTCCACTTTTTGGCTATTTTGATAAATGTTGTTAAGAACATTTCTGTACAAATTTTTATGTAGACATATGTTTTTGTGTGTCTTGGATATATTCCTAGGATTGGAAATGCTGGATCATATGACAGTTATCTTTTTGAATAACTGCCAAGCTCTTTTCCAAGTGTTTGATTCCCACTAGCAATATATGAGGGCTTAAATTTTTCCATATCCTCACCACAACTTGTTCATCTTTTTTATCATAGGTATTTTAGTGCATGTGAACTGCTGCCTCATGGTTTTGGTCTGCTTTTATGAATGGAGATTTTGAGTATTTTTCATGTGCTTTTTGGCCATTTGTATGTCTTTGGAGAAATACCTGTGCAAATCCATTTAAATCACTTTTTAAATTCATTTATGTATCTTTTTAATGTAAGTTATTTATAAATTCTGGATACAGGTATCTTATCAGTTATATGATTAGCATATTTTCTCCCTTTCATGAGTTATCTTTTTACAGTTTTGAAGTCATCCTTTAAAGCACAAAAGTTTTTTTGTTTTTTGAATTCAATTTTGTTTTAATCACTTGTGTTTTAGGTGTCACATATAAGAAACCATTGCCTAACCCAAGCTTGAAAAGACTTATGCTTATGTTTCTTTTTAAGAGTTTCACAGTTTTAGCTCTTACATTTAGACCTTTGATACATTTTGAGTTATTTTTTGGAAGTTTGAGGTACATTCACCTGTATTTCTCTCCTTATGCCATTACCACACAATCTTGATTGCTGTATTTTTGTAGTAGATTTTGAAATGGGGAGTTCTCCAGCTTTGATTTTCTTATTCCTGTTTTACCTACTATGAATCCCCAAGATATTTCCAAATGAACTATGGAATCATGCTGTCAATTCTACAAGAAAGCCAGCTGGGATTTTGATTTGTAATTACATTAAGTATTTAGATCACTCTGTTCCACGTGCCTCTTATCTTCCTTCCCAAGTCCTTTTTAGCTTCCACTCACCACTCAGCAACACCCTTCACTAGGTGGGGTAGAGAACATGGAACCTCCCCCTTTTAGATTATACTGTTACAATATAACATGATTAAAGTGATTAATTTTTCAGGTGTTATACCAACCTTGCACTTCTGGAATAAATCCAACCCTGTCATGGTGTATAACTCTTTTTGTATGTCGCTGGATTTAGTGTGCTGTGTTCATATGGGTCTCTGGTTGTCTGTCTCATTTCCTTGTCTGCAGTTGATGTGTAGTTCGCATTGGACTTAAATTTCAATTTAGGAAGTGTTCCCTCCTCTTCTATTTTTTGAAAGAGTTTGAAGGGTTGGTATTAAAATTCCTTTAACATTTGGTAGAATTCACTAATGAAGACATGTACTTCTAGAGTTTTCTTTGTGAGAATTTTTTAAATTACAAGTTCAATTTCTTTCATAGTTATTGGTACCTATACTTTTATTTTTCTCTGACATAATTCCTCCTTTTTCTATGATGGATTTTTTATATTATTTTTTATTGAGTTAACAACACTGTATATGATTTATGTGATTTACAACCCTGTACGTTTAGGGATATAGGTTCATACCTCTTCAGATGTGTGTTGCTATACCACACCAAAGCAGTAACTTCCATCATAGCCCATGTGTCCCCCTCACCTCTTTTTTCCCCACTCACCAGCTGTAGGGGAGTAAAAATCTGCCACCCCAAAATATGTCTTTGGCAAGAGGTTTACGTCATGGGAGGGACCCAGAAGTTGCTTTTGATGTTTATTATCTAGAATTCTCTCTGTAAGAGTTTTTTCTAGAAAGTCTTTAAATCCCCTTACCTATCGTCTATGGAGAACTCAGAAGTACCTTTGTTTTCCCCAGCAAATGCCCTGACTGAATTTCCCCTTTATTTTGCAACCTCCCTTGTCCTCACTAAACTATTTAGGATACATCTAAAGCCACACAGAGCAAGTTACTCAGCCATACTATGTCCCCCCATGTATATATGAGCTGTACATGCTGTCACTACATCTCTCTTACCAGTCTGTCTGATGCTCGTTGTCTGTCATGGTGCCCCATGACTAGTGTGACGGGCCAGATCGTTTCAACAGGGCCCTTCGATCCACAGTTCAGTCCTCCTGTTCAAACAGGATTGGGGCTGCTCATCCCTCCAGCGGGCTGTTTCTTTTACCTAGGCTGTCTGCCTTTCTATGCACATGCACACACACACATATTTTGTTTACACTAATATAGTTATATTCCTTGTTAAAAAAGATATTGCTACATGCCATTGATAGAGAAAGGGGGGTACTTAGGTTTGTATAAACTCTTCGGTATTCTTGAAGAGAGTTGTATGCATGGAAATTGAAATTTATTGTTATTACAGTCACAGTTTATAAAGTGCTTACCCTTAGTATTGCTACAAGGACATGATTTTAATAAATTGAGTGCCTTCTGTTCTTTCTGATCATCAGTAGTAGCATGTCTTAGTTTCCTGGGACTGCTGTAACAAAGAGCTACAAGCTAAATGACTTGAAGCAACAGGAATTTATTCTCTCACAATCTGGAGGCTAGTAGTCTGAAATAAAGGTGTTGGGAAGGTCATCTCCTTCTGCAACCAGGGTTAGAATCCTTCCTTGCCTCTTCCAGGCATCTTGTGGGGGCCATCAGTCCTGGGCATTCCTTAACTTACTGTTCCAGTACTCTGTTCTGCCTCTGCCATCGTATGATGTCTCCCTGTGTCTGTCTTCATATGACATTTTCTTCTTCTTATAAGGGCACTGGTCATATTGGATCATCACCTCATCTTAACTTGATTGCCTCTGCTACAACTATTCCCAAATAATGTCACATTCACAGGTGCCAGGCATTAAGACTTTTACATATATTGAGGGGACATAATTCAACCTGTAACAGAGTGCTATGCTCTGAGATATTGAGTAGGGGGCCTCACCTTAGTAACACTAAAGATTTTAATAGCTTTTATAAAAGTTTCATGGTATATTTCTCTGTCTTTTAAAAAAATAATGCTTCTCCCCATTATACAGTAAGCCCTGAAAATGCCATTGATCACACATTTATGTGTTTTCTTCTAGAAAGAAAGCAGAGATGCTTGGATAACTAGGGCTTATAAAGGATGTTTAAAATTACAGTTTATATGCCCCCCCCAAATAGAATCACAAAAATTTGTGAATAATTTTGGAATAGCAGTTCACTGTTGAAATGTACTTTTCCCCTTATCACAATCAGAGGAATCTTATACATAGACCAATTTAAGTACTGCCAGAATCCATCTCTGTAGTGAAATTAAATAATATTTTTAATAAAATTGTATTGGGGCCTCCCCTGGTGGTGCAGCAGTTGAGCGCTGGACTGCGAAGCTGCCCACAGCTTCTGCAGCGCCAGTTCGATCTCCGGCCACCAGCGAGGGTCCCACATGGTGCGCAGACCTCTCCTGTTGCCCGCTGCTCCCCTGAGCAGTGTATTTCGTCAGTCTGCCTGCTCTGTTCCCCACTCTGTCTCTGGTGAATTCTCTCACCCTCCCGCGCCTCTGACTGTACCCAGTGCTTGTATAAATAAATAAATAAATAAATCTTTTTTAATAAATAAATAAATAAAATTGCATTTGTATGTAATTGAATTGAAAATGACAAGTGTTGTATACAATACAGCATAACTTTGGATCAAAGTTAAAAGAAAGAATACTGCTAGCCTAGTTCCACTTGTTTTTAACAATGCTTCCAATTATTTTCTTTATCCACAAATGCTATCATCTCTACTTGGTCTCAATACAATTATTTGAGTGTCTGTCATTCCTTAGTACTCCTGTGTGGTGAGTACAGCACTTTGGGGAGCAGGAGAATCCATGTTCCTTTTTTTTAGAACATAGCCCATGGCCCTGTTCCTCTGGCACAGGAAGACTAGGGCATTGTTAACATTTGTCACTCCCTCATGTCTTGGACTCTTACCTTTTATGTTTTGCTGTTCTTTGGTTGTTTCATTTTCCTATTTTGAATTAAGGCATTGACTTACTATACTTCCTCAGCCACCGCAGAAGTTTCCACTATGTAACAAGAGTGAAAACTATACTTAATTATTCTTTTTCTTTCTTATCAAACAATACAGGGCAATCTAGAGCAGCCATGATACCTCCCAAGCATCCACGGCAGCCTAAGGGAGCTTCGGATGATGCCTTTGCTGGAAAAACAGACCAAGAAATGCCTACTGCTTCCCAACCTACGCCACCCCCACTGCCAAAGAAAATGATCATAAGAGCCAACACAGAGCCAATCTCCAAAGATGTCCAAAAATCTCTGGAAACTAGTCTTTGTGTCTTGGCTAACCCTACCTATGATATCGACCCCAACTGGGATGCCAGCAGTGCTGGCTCTTCTATGAGTTATGAACTCAAGGGATTGGACATTGAGTCTTGTGACTCGTTGGAGAGACCTTTGCACAAGGAGAGACCTGTACCCTCAACAGCAAACAGTTTCTCCAGCTTAACCACTGTCAGTATTAAGGATAGATTTTCCAACAGTATGGAGTCCCTGTCCAGTCGGCGTGGTCCCTCTTACAGACAGGGCCGAAGCATCCAGAAGCCACAGAGACAAGCACTTTATCGAGGACTTGAGAATCGGGAAGAAGTGGTGGGTAAAATCCGATGTCTTCATACAGATGCTTTGAAGAAACTGGCTGTTAAATGTGAAGACCTCTTCATGGCTGGGCAGAAAGACCAGCTCCGTTTTGGAGTGGACAGCTGGTCAGACTTCAGGCTCACCAGTGACAAGCCATGTTGTGAGGCAGGTGATGCAGTTTACTACACAGCTTCGTATGCAAAAGATCCACTTAATAACTATGCAGTCAAGGTAAGAAAAGGAAACACTAATATTATCCTTAACTAACACACCATTATTGGTATGGGTCCGTTCTTCATTCCTCCATTCGGCAAAAGGTGACTGAGCACCAGATATTGTCGTGAACAGAGGCTTGCTTAGTAGTTAGAGGAGATAACCACATATAAAGGACAAACATACAACATAGTATGCTGAGTGCTAAGATAGAGGTAAACAGAATTCTAGAGGAGCTTGGAGGAGCTTAACCCACATTCTAGAGATCAGAGAAGTCTTCCTGGAGTAGGTAATCCCTGAGCTGTGATTGTTTGCAAAGACAGCCTACACAAATAAAGTCCCATGTATGCTTTCCACTCCATGTTTCCGACTTTATTCTCTAGCAAATAAGAGAACCTTGTCTACCTCTGCTCTTCAACTCTTATGCTTCCTGGATAATGTTGTTATAAAGGAATATAATATTTGAGGACATACCAGGAGCTTTGTTGGTGTGTCGTATAGTTTAATCTTTGCGTCATCTTGATGAGGTTAAGCTCTTTTTATCCATCTGACAATGAGAAAAACTAAGCTCAAAAAGGTGAGTGAGGGCCTCCCTGGTGGCGCAGCGGGTTGAACACAGCTCTGTGAGGCTGTGCGCAACCTCTGCAGTGCGGGTTCGATTCCCGGCGGCCAGGGAGATGCCCACATGGCTCGGCAGACCTCTCCTGTCTCTCCCGCTGCTCCCCTCAGCAGTGCCTTTGGTCTATCTGCCTGTTCTGATCCCCACTCTGTCTCTGGTGAATCCTGTCACCCTCTCACACCTCTGGCCTGTACCTCTGGCTCTTATATAAATAAATAAAAATAAAAAATCTTTTAAAAAAAAAAAGGTGAGCAGACTTGTTCAGGGTCACTCAGCTAGCACATAGTATTATAGGGCAGCCCCGATATTGAATGGGTTGCCTGGCTGTGGGTCCTCACCCACGCGCTTAAAAGGGACTTATTAATAGTCCACTACAGGCACACACAAAAGGTTAATAAAAGGTTTATTTACAAGGGAAAAGGAAATAAGGAAAATGTACAACTCAGGGAGAAAATAGGGAAATAAAGTCTTTAATGCGTCCTACCCGATCCGCCGACCTGGAAACCCAAAGGCACTCTCAGCACTGGCCGGACCCTGCGAGCTGGCGGAGAGCCAAAATGGGGGAACCCCTCCAAAGCCCACGTGTCTGGCTCTATACCAAACCTGGCTGCTTAACCCCACCCTCAGGTCCCAGCCGCCTTCCCTTTGGTGGTGATGGGATTTGGAGTTCCCAATGTCTTTGGCTTTGGCCTGGGGTGGGGGTGGAGTCCACAAAGACTGTATGGAATTAGCTTTAGGACAGCCTTTTCCCCCTAACAATAGCACATATTAATTTCTTGCATATGTAGCACCCATTCCTGATAACCCACTTCTTCAAGAGTGCTAAAGCTCTTGACACAAAGAATTCTTGTCCAGTTACATGCACTCTAACAGTAAGCCTTAAGTTTCATCAATATAATAAAGCGTAGACTTTGAAGTCCGAAAGATATGGTTTCAAATCCTGTCTCTGCCTCATAGTAGTTTTGTCACAAGTTGCAATTCTGAGTCTCAATTTCCTTAACTTTAAAATGACATAGTAATGGTTCCCATCTTATAGGACTGGTTGAAAGAGAACAAAATGTCACTAATAACTATCCATTTCTTTCAGTGCCCCATAGCTTCTCCCTAGGTTATTTTAAGAGTAACAATCTTTGAGCCTCAATTTCCTCCTCTTTCAGATGTTTACCATGATAATCCATCTACTTCATGGTGTTGAGGTGAGCATCCAGGGAGATAATATACTATGAAGTATTTTTTTTTTAATCCCAAAACACTATGTAAATTTAGGATAATGTTCTCTCTTCCTGTAACCTCCTTTTCACTGATTCTACTCACTGGTTCAAAACCAATTAACATATCTAAATGACTTTTACATGTTAATTTGACTTAGAAAGACCAGATGGTGTCTTAGTAAATTAAATGGATAAGGTAAACCTTTGCTTTTACCTGTCAATCAAGACGGAATGTATATTTGAACCAGACCTTTAGCTCAGCTGCTCTCTGCAGTTTTAGGTATAGACACAATTTGACTGCCTATGGCACTGACAGGCCCTGTGCCCCAACCCACTCTTTCTGAATTAAACTGAGGGGTAAACAGTAGAGAAAGGATCTGTATTCAAGTTAACACAATTTTGTTGCATATGAAAAGCATTGGGAGATGCTGTGCAGCACTCAAGAACTGTTATATCAATTGGGGTTTAGGGGCGTCATCTATGTTGGACCTTTATTGCTACAAGATTGCCAATGCAGGATTAGTACCTATTCCAGAAAGGGGCGTTGAACTATCTGTTCTTTCAAAACAATTGAGAAGAAGGGCTTGACTAACTTTATGTATTATAGCCCTACAATCTTGTCTCTTTCCCAAATCAATGGTTCGGTATTGATTTCTTTGCCTGTAATGACGCAGAAGCAATCTCCAAAGAACAGGTGGCAAGTGGTTATATACTGGGAGTTGTTGGCAGGTTGGGAAAGAATGTTTTACACTAAATGGTGAATATAAATGTCTTTTTGAAGATACTCTGGATGTTTCTAGAAGTACGAAATTGATTCTTCAACCTTAGAGGAATAAACAGCTAGGACACTGTGAACCCTACCTTTGCAAAGATAAACAAAACAGATCAGCAGTTTGCTACACAAGCAACTTTTTACTATTTGTTTTAAAATACCCATTCCCATACTAATGGGATTTAGAATAGGTGTAACTGTTTCTTGAAGAAATAAAAAGATCTTTAAATTTATCAAAGAAAATCAGTGCTAGAATTTAGCAATTAGAAAATCAAAGGATACTTCCCCCCTTTCCTAAGGAAGGATACTTCTACCAAATAGCCAGAAGTGATCCAGTACTAAGATCTTTAATCTCCAGGCTGTCTTGCTCAGGCTTCCATAACAACGCACCATAGACAGGATGACTTAAATGACAGAAATTATTATCTCTGGAAAATGAAGGGTAGAACTTCATTTTCCAGCTAATTCACTTTCACGTAGGACTCTCTTTCTGGCTTGCAAGCAGCTGCCTTCTCCCGGTGTCCTCACATGGTTGAAGGGAATGGAAGGCTCTCTGGTGTTTGTTTTTCCAGGACACTAATCCATGCCAGGACCCTATCTTTATGATCTCATTAATCTCTTTGTTGCCTCTTCAATTACAGTCACATTTGGAGTTTAGGACTTGAACTGAATTTTGGGGGTTCACCCTTCAGTTCATAGAATTCTGCCCTTGGTTCTTCAAAATTCTTGTTCTTTTCATACGCAAAATTCTTCCGGTCTACCTTAATGCCCTTAAAGGTCTTAATTCATTCCAAAATCAACTATAAAGTCTAAAGTCTCGTCTAAATATCATGTAAATCTTATATGAGTAAAATATAGGTCTCATTCATCCAAAAGCAAATTTCCTCTCGAACTGTGGGCCTATGAAATCAGAAAAGTTATGTGGTTCCAAAATATAGCAGCAGAGAGGCATAGAATAGGCAATACTATTCTAAAAGGGAAAAATTGAAAGTCTGGAAATGGTGATAGAATCCAAGTAAGTCCAAAACCTAGGGCTCAGGAAAAATCCTCTTCGGTTCAATACTCTAACTCCAGGTACACTGGGGTGGTAGATTCACCCCCATGACTCTGCTGGGCACCCTGCTACTATGAATGTTCGCAAGGGCCCTTCCCACATAGCCCTGGGTGATGGCCCTATCCATGTCGCTCTCCACCGAGTTGGCTTACCCTTGAGGCATTGGGCAGAGTCAGCTGGCCCTCCAAATCTAAAGAGAGGCCCTACCACTTGAACTGAAGAAGAGCCTTGCCCTGGACCCAAGATGTGAGTAGTACCCTGATGGTCCCCAAAGTGCTCTGGGGTTATTATCCACTTAGAATAGTACACTTCCGCAGCACAGTAATTCTGTGGTCCCATCCTGTAAACTCCCAAAAGCATGACAAGCCTTCTTTATTCTGTTTTCTCTGTCTCCTTGGCTCAGACTCACAGTGTCTTTGCTGATATAATCCCATCACTGTTCCTGTCTTCTGCTGGGATGACTGATTAAGCCCAAGAGTCACACCTCTGATATCTTTATCAAATGATAAAATAAGCTTTCTCATTTTTTGCAGTATGGGCAGTATGGATGAGAATTTTCTAAATCTTCATGTCTGGTACCTTCTTGCTTAACAGCTTCTTCTTTAATTCATCTCTCTCCTTTGACATTTTACTGTAAGCAAGTAGGAGAAACAAGATGCTCTTTCAGCACTTTGCTTAGAAATCATCTCAGTCCAATATCCAATTTCAAAGCTCTCAAGTTCTACCTTTGGCAAAATGGTGGAACACAGCTTGTCATGTTATAAGAAAGATCACCTTCTCTCCAATTTCTAATAACGTTTCTCATTTTTGAGACTTCACCAGAATCACAGTTAGTGTTCATATTTCAGGCAACAGTCTATTCATGATTATCAAGGTTTTTCTATTTTGCACCTCAAAACTCTTTCAACTTATACCCAACTTCAAAGCTTGTAAATTCCGGAGTGTTGGTTACAGTAGTATCCTGCTCTGGTACCAGAATCTTAGTCTGCTCAGCCTGCCATAACAAGATACCATATGCTGAAAGCCAGTTCTGGAGCCTAAAAAGGAGGACTCGTCTTGCCTTGAGACATCTATCCTCTCACTATGTGGGAGGCTTGAGGAGGTGGGGCATATGTATGAAATTTACATAATTTCATATGTATGAAATTAACATTAGTATTTCCACATATCAATTTGCAGAAGACACAATTCAATCCATAACTTTATTTTTTTATTGTGAATTTTATCATTTTTATTTATCTTAAACTAAAAGGCATCAGAATACAGAATAAAAAGAAAGTGGACTGAATCAGCTGCCATGGATCCAAATTCCAAATCTATCCCTGTGTATTCTTTTTTTTTAAAAAAAAAAGATTTATATAT